GGGGCCATGCAACCTTTTTTTTATTCTCCCCCGCCTCCCCCTCCCCCCCAAATCTCTGAATAAATGTCCGCAAAGCAACGTGTGGAAACTTCCCTGGTGCGTACCTACCTTTACTTCTTCAACCCCTCCTTCCCAGGCTTCTTCCTGTCCCTGTGTGAGGACCCATCCCTTCTGCTACTTGGTCCTAAATCCATGTGGGTTTGGAGGGCGGGATGCTGGACTGTCCTTGCTTGCTCACATTGTACCATGGGGCTCCATTTCCAGTCACTGCTAGACCTGGAGTTGTGGAATCCGTGTCGTTCCTGACCACCAAACTCTGCCGAGTCTCAGTCCCAGCCCAGTTGTTAACCCCCTGCTCTGTCCGTCTCTCTCCAGCCGGATCTCCTCAATTTCAAGAAGGGATGGATGTCCATACTGGATGAGCCGGGAGAGGTAAGATGGATGGTGGGTGCATGACACCCAGAGGTCTCTCTCCTCCCCAATCCTGTGTACACAGAGGCTTGCCTTCTACATTGTGGCTGTGTCCCTTGCTTGGGAAGGTGGAGGTGAGCTGCTGATTTAGACTGTCCCCATTGCGGCTGAACTCTGCCAAGGAGGTTCCCTGGCTCAGGTGCCTAATTTGCTGTGTGCGGTCCAGTCGCCATCACACACTTCCATCAGACTCCTCTCACTGCCCCAGTCCCAGCCGATTGATAGAAAGAGGGTGGAGGGAGATATCTTCGGAGGAGGAAGGAGACAGTCGGACTTGGAAGCTGCCCTCTGGGCAAGAGGGTCAGTAAGCAGAATACCCTTCCCTGTTCCAACACGTTTCCTCGGTAATCTAGTCTGTTCATTTCCCCCTGTCTCTCCTGTTCCCTTCCCTTCCCCTCCCCTTCACTGTTCTGTCCGCAGTGGAAGAAACACTGGTTTGTGCTGACGGACTCGAGCCTGAGATATTACAGGGACTCCAACGCTGAGGAGGTAAGCATGGGGAGTGCACTTTGACCTCTGTTCTTTGCTTGGGGTGGGGTGGTGGTGGGATCCTGGAGCTGCCTTGTGCCCTTCCACCAGGAGCAAAGCACGCTCCCCTCCAGGAAGGGGACTGCAAAGGTGGCAGGGCTTATTATATAGCTTAGCTGCAACCACTCCAGTGCCTGGGTCTGAAACAGGCATCAAGAAAATTAATGACTAGAATGTGGGACCTCAGCTCCAGCAAGGATGGGACAGATGCTCTGAGTGGGCATAGACTGAATGTGAAGTGCAGAGAATCTCATGCTTCCAACTGGGATACAGGCGGCGTTGGGGAGATGGCATGAAGTTTGCTCGGGGACTCACTGGTGGTCTGGGGTTTGTTTCAGGCTGATGAGCTGGATGGTGAGATTGACCTGCGCTCCTGCACAGAAGTGACGGAATATGCCGTGCAACGCAACTATGGCTTCCAGATACACGTGAGTACCTGCAGCCATGCAAACTTGTGCTGGGCTCCTGTTGGGGCTTGCGAGCTAAGCAGAGTCAGGGCTGGTCAATTCTTGTATGGGACACCTCCAAGGATACCCGGGTCCGCAGGAAGCGGCTAATGCTCACCCCTCTCGAACGAACGCCGTCCTCCAGGAGGATGCAAGGAGCTGCAGTGCTACTACTGTGTGTGTCCTTTTCAGGTGAGCTGGCCAGCCAGGACCCTGAGTGCTCGTGGGCCCTGATCCCGTGGCAATTCTGGCAAGAGCAGAGTGTTAATCCAAGAGACCTAGGCTAATTCCAACTTGGATGACTAGATTTTTGCCTCCTTCAGCTATCCCACTGAAACTGTATGGAGATTCTTATTCATTCCCTTTCTGTCCTGAAGAACTGCTGGGTATTGTTGGCATGTGCTGTACACCTGCTACCAATAGTATCAGCTTGCCTCTATTGTGATGGATGTCACAGCACACCAGCTGCTTATTCCACTGATTGTAATCCTCTGTTACCTTGTATTCTCCCCCATCCCTGTATCTATCTGTTTGATCCCCCTGTTGTGTCTCATAATGTACTTAGTCCCTGCCCTGAAGATCTTACAATCTATCTTGTTCTCTGTACAGCACCGGGCACAATGGGGCCAGGGCCTCTAGGAGATGCTGCAATACTAGTCATTCATTTCTGTGCAGAGGAATTGAGCTGTGGCGGGGGGTGAGGGGGCTTGGTTCTGAAGTGATGTAGGATGCTTGGGATTAGAAGGCACTACATCGGTGCAGGAGGGGGATATATTGCAGGGTGGAGGTGGATGTAGCCATGCTGGGAGGTCCAGCTGACCTTCCCTGGTGATGAAATGACTACAAGGGAACTTAGCCTAACAGCTGACTCGGCCCAGTGTTCTGTAGGGATGGCCAGGAGCAGATAGAATGGTATCTCATGGGCGAGGAGGGGGAGGGAGTCTAGGCATAGGCTCACTGTTGTGCTGACAGGCGAACCCAAAGGTTTTTTCACCTTGCATGTAAAATCTGTCTTAGACAAGAGAGAGCAAACCCCAATAGCGAGAACAAACAAAACAAAAGGCAGTATTTCTTCACACAACGCACAGTCAACCTGTGCCAGAGGATGTTGTGAAGGCCAAGACTATAACAGGGTTCAAAAAAGAACTAGATAAGTTCATGGAGGATAGGTCCATCAATGGCTATTAGCCAGGATGGGCAGATTATGTCCCTAGCCTCTGTTTGCCAGAAGCTGGGAATGGGCAATAGGATGGATCACTCAATGATTACCTGTTCTGTTCATTCCCTCTGGGGCACCTGGCATTGGTCACAGTCGGTAGACAGGATACTGGGCTAGATGGACCTTGGGTCTGACCCAGTATGGCTGTTCTTACGTTGTACTCCACCCAGGGGACCCATCTCCCCAGCGCCCCAGGAGCGCAGATGGACACACACGACTTGAACAGAGACAGAGGAGTCGAGGGTTCTTTCATAGGGGAGGAGGATGTCTTGGAAGCTGACCTGTTAACTGGCACCTGTCTAGCAGTGCCCAAGTGATTGAATTAACCTCCGCTTATGCCTTTTGAGGGCCTGTCTCTTGTTGATGTGACAGGAGAACAGAGAGGGACTGTTAAGACCCTGCTGGTGGCTGTCCTCCGACTCTGCTCTATCGAAGGTGTGCCCTGCAGTCTGGAGAGCGAGTGGGGTGTTGCCTCAATCCCAGGCTGTAGCCTGCTATCCTGCGCTGTGGCAGCGGGGAGGGTATCACTGCACATTGTGGGCTGAGCTCCCTTTGGCGTCTCCCTTTCAGACGAAGGACGCCACCTTCACCCTGTCAGCAATGACCTCGGGGATCCGGCGAAACTGGATTGAGGCGCTGAGGAAGAACGTGCGCCCGGTCAGCGCACCGGATGTCACAAAGTACGTATGTCTGGGAATGTGTGTTGTCCCCCTTCCCCCCCCCCCACTCCCACCCATGGCTCGATCACTTTGTGTCAGCACCTTGGCCACAAGCAGGCAATCCTTTCTGGGACGGGAGAAGTCTCCTCATCCTCCCCTCCCACCTTCGCATGGGAGAAGATGCTTTGCCAGTCATGCTTGCTTGCAGCAGTGATACTCGTGAGGGTATCACGGGGGTATCTAGTCTTACCGTGTCAGTGGGTGAGTGTGGGAGGAAGCTCTCTGGGGCTTTGTACTCAGGGTCCTGCTGGGTGACCCAAGGGCAGAGAACGTCTCCCAGGATCCTTTGAAGAGTCCAGGGGTGACAGCTGGCTGCTTTGCAGTGTCCCACCCTTTTCCTCCAATCATCTCACCACCAGTTGCCAGACCAAGTGCATGTCCGCACAAGAGAGTCTGAAAGAAACCGACAACACCAAGACTGGATTTGCCTTTCTCTTTGCATGCAGAAGGGGAGCAGGACAGAGTCCCACTAGGGCAAGGAGTGGCACAGAGCGCATGGCTGGTGGGCTCTGTTCTAGAGATGAGAGCTCAAGCTCAGATCAAAATGTGTATCCCTGGAGCTGGGCCTGGTTCTCCCCACCCTACAGGAAGTCTGTTCCCATTGCAAAGCCACTGGGATGTTTGGTGTGACAGGCTGGCTGTGCTCTGGAGGTTCCTAGGACTGGAATAGCAAGGGGTGTGGTTGCAGGCTAGGCTTGTGTTGCATTGGCAGGAGTATGCGTGGGCTGTTTGCACAATGCCTGCCTGCGTGACTCCCAGCGGCCGCGTCTCTCTCTCATGCCTTCATGCTCTGATTTTCAGGCTATCTGATTGCAATAAGGAAAACTCCTTCCGCAGCTGCGTCCCCCAGAAAGGCTCCCTAAGGTCAGAGGAGCAGTGGCCGGGCTTGGGGTCAGAGGTTATTTCCAAGGGCAGTAACCGGAAGGTGGACGGGCCGCGCCACACCTTTGACTACGTGGAGCTGTCCCCCTTGAATCAGGGGTCCCCGCAGCGGACGAGAGGCAGTTTGAGGGGGATCTCTGACCGAGTCACCAAGCACGAGGACCTGGAACGGGACCTAGCCCTCCGCTCTGAGGAGAGGCGGAAGTGGTTTGAGGCTCCTGACACAGGGGTCCTGCAGGGCGACGGCCCAGCAGGGGCCCTCTGCTGGAAAGCATGTGAGCAGGAGCTGCTGGGGCCCGCCCTGTCAGAGGACCAGCGCAGTCGGCTGAGTGAAGAGATTGAGAAGAAATGGCTGGAGCTGGAACGGCTGCCTCTGAAGGAGTCTAAGCGCCTTCCTCTGACTGCGCTGCTGAACCAGAGCAAGGGGGGCCATGGAGACACGAGGGAGGCGCTGGAGAAAGAGGTAGGAGCCATCTGTCTTTGGGGCCCCATTTCCTTCTTCCCAGGTTGGGAGAGGGACTCCCCTTTTTCCTAGGGGCTCAGCAGGAGGTTAGGCCAAAGTGCTGGGGACACAGGAAGCCCTTGTTACACCGTCTACTCCCACTGCCGGCCTTCCATGGGCACGGAAAGCAGCACCATTTGCCACCTCTGGGTCAGGAGAACTCTCACTTGCATAGCAGGTTCATTGACCCGTGCTTTGAGAAGCAGCTTGTCCGTATATCAGAGATCCCAGGCCAAATTCAGCCTTAATACAAACTGGTGAAATGCCATTGACTTAACTGGAGTTGAGCCTATTTTCACTGGGGACACCCAAACCTCTTGTCCTGCCCTTCATAACTGGGGTTTAACCTGACGAACTTAGCCCTGGCAGCAGTGAGCGTGTCACTAGTTCCGTGGGGATGGGGATAGCCATGAACCCCTTACGCCAGACACTGCCAGCCTTTCTGCCTTCAGAGGAGAGCATGGCTTACACCTAGTATATCTTGAGGTGGGGAGGGGTCTCTTCCTCACCTCTTTCCACTGCTCATGTGCTGGGGCCTTTTTCACTGGGTTTGTCCCATTGGGTGACCACCCCTTTCCCTGGATAAAGGAGACTGGCTGTGGCGCCCAGTGTCTCCTTTGATCGTCCCTCACTCCCAAACCCCTGGCTGAGGTTCGTCTGGCGGAGATGGAGCTTGCTCATTCCAAATCGGAGCTGTTCCTCATGGCTGAGTCAATGTTGTTCTGGTTTCCTGGCGCAGGTCCAGTCCCTGAGGGCACAGCTGGAGTCCTGGCGTGCCCGGGGAGAGAGCCTTCGTGACACAGGAAAATCCCATGGAGATGGCCACATGCCCCAGGGATTCATCTCCCAGGTGAGGGTCAGTTGGCAGTGGGCCAGAAATCCCACTTTGCCTTTGAGTCCACTCCAATCCCGAAAAGGGTCGGAGGGAAGGTGGGAGATTCACACCTACTCTGGCTGCCCTGCCAGAGTATGCATTTCATTGATTAGCATTGCCGTGGCAATCCAAAGTGAGCCCAGCTGCAATCAGTGTTAACTATATCGTGGCTGATGGGCACTGCCAGTCCTTAAAGGGGCAGGTGCCCAAGTATGCATGCAAAGGATGGGGTGGGATCTGATGGAGCTGTCCCTTACCATTGAAGCAGGGTTCTGTTGCTTGGAGGGTTGGGACTTGCCCACCAGAACGCCCATTAACGCTGGGGAGATGGGCTTGGCTCTGTCATCCACCTGCCTCCTCGGTCCTGAGCCTCTTTGCTGGGAGAAGGGAAGTTAATGTGTATTAGGATTTTCCATAGGAGGAAACAAGCTGATGATGGCACATTACAGATAAGTTCATGGAGGATAGGTCCATCAATGGCCATTAGTCAGGATGGGCAAGGACGGTGTCCCTAGCCTCTGTTTGCCAGAAGCTGGGAATGGGCAGCAGGGGATGGATCACTTGATGATAACCTGTCTGTTCATTCCCTTTGGGGCACCTGTCATTGACCACTGTCAGAAGACAGGATACCGGGCAAGATGGACCTTTGGTCTGACCCAGGATGGCTGTTCTTGTGTGTAGTTTGGGGCATGGTTACACCATGAAAGCCATGGAGAACACAGGTTTAGGACTCTGTCAAATCTAGCTTGGTCCCATTTTAAGTTAGGAGACTGCCCTGCATTTCACCTGGGCCAGGAGGCACCATGTTGTAGCAGGGTCCTGCTTCACGGTAGTATAGACAGATCTTCAGTCTCTCTTTAAATAGAGGGTGGTTTGGTTCAAACACATGAATGTCTCTCCATTCTGAGCTGTAACTGTCTTTGGTTTTATTTGGACATGAACCAAATGTCAGGTTATAGCCAAGACTAAAACCCGGTGGGCCACTCATCAGCCACGTGCCACCAGGAGCCCATCAGCAGGCTCTTGTAATCGAGGTCAGCCAGCTCAGGAACAGGGATTGTTTATGTAAAGCAGTCAAGTCTTATGCAACACACTTCCCGACATGAGTTAACGGGTCCTTGGAGATAATCCTGGTGGTGCAACCAATTGAGTTGCCTCAAATCACAAAAAAATCATGACACACTGAGTTGATTGCACTCCACCTTTGGGCTCTGCTCATAGCCACAGAGATCAAGTCAGTGGAAGAAAAGGCAATAATGGCCTAATCCTGCAAGGCGCTGAACCTCTTATTGATGTCAGTGGGCATTAAGGGGCATAGAATCATAGGACTGCAAGGGACCTCAAGAGGTCTAGTCCAGTCCCCCGCACTCCTATCAGAACTAAGTATTATCTAGCCCAGGGGTCAGCAACCTTTTAGAAGTGGTGTGCCGAGTCTTCATTTATTCACTCTAATTTAAGGTTT